GCTGCCTCGCTCCTGTCTCGCCGCTGCTGCTGCGCTAACTTGCGCTGCTGCCGCTGATGCTGCCTCGCTCCTGCACTAAGAATAGTGCTGCTGCCTCAACCGACATGCAGCTGAAGCAGCATGCCAGTGGCTCAATGCATCTCAATGAGGCTGGTACCGGTATAAGTACCGGTGGCCAAGAGGCCGGGCTCAATGCTGCGAGGCCTGGCCGTGACCTGAACTGTCGAGATTGACGGTTCAGATCAGATCGGCCGGCGGCAGGCTCAAAAGCACCGCCAGGCCCAAAACGAGAATGTCGTTTGGGCCTGCCCGTCGGTCTGGTCCAAAAACGTGGCCTTTACGGCCTGCTGTACCCCATGTCCGGGCCTTTAGGCCCTACTGTGTCCCTCTGGCCCTAAGTCGGGTCCGGTAGGACCCGTGTGGCGTCGAAGATGTAACACCCAGGCAGCCCCAGYRCATAATATTAAAAAAATAATTWAAAAAAATCAAAAAYATCKGRAAAATAAATATGTTGTGTAAAATTGCAGTACAAGCAACTCTTGGCTGAGGGTCCCCTCGAAATTCATTATTAATTTTAAGATAAAAATAAATGAGGAGAAATGAGGTAAGATATACCCTTTTAAATTTTAATTTATTTAAATTCCCCTCTTGTCATTATTTAGAGTAACTTTATACCCCCCAAACACCCCTGGGTGACCCRCCACCGAAATGGAAGGTAAGGCCCGATTCTGACTCTTCAGGCGGAGCGCAGCCCTGGCCTAAAGTCGGTTTCTTTTTTTGGGGAATCCTTCCCTCTTTTTCGACCTGCCTGGTTTTGCGGGGCGATCGCCCCCAGCCCAGCCCAGCCTAGCATTTTTATGCTTTTCTTTTCTTTATCAATCCAGGGGCTATATCCAATCGATAAATATATTGGATATACCGTTTAAAAAATGGTGGGCAGGGGTGGTCTAAGCTAGACATGGTGTATACATGAAATCGGCCTTGGAACTTCGTTTTTTCAGCTGATTGCAGGTATACAGGGTGCATGGACACTAACACCCCGACACACACACAAAAAAAAAAAAAACACCGTACAGGGCTCCTCCTGTACGAGCATGGATTCGTACGCCCGTACGTGTACGCGGTGCCATACGGATTGCTACTCAGGGTGGGTGGGTGAGTGGGCGGATGGATGGATGGGTGGGTGGATGAGTGGACGGGCTGGTGGATGGATGGGTGGATGGATGGATGGATGGATGGATGGATGGATGGATGCTGGATTGATGGGTGGATGGATTGATGGGTGGATGGATGGATGGATGGATGGATGGAAGGATGGAAGGATGGAAGGATTCATCAAGCGATCAATCGATCAACCAATCAATCAATCTACCTCCAAGCTTAAGAATCATGAATCATCTCAACCATTAAACGATCTACTGCCAAGCTGACAAATCATGAAACATCTCAGCCGTTCACCGATGTCTTGCCAGCATTGTGAATCACAAATCATCTCAAGCATTCACTGTGGTGGGGGGAGAGAGAGAGAGAGAGAGAGGTGGACGGACGAGGAGAGAGATTGAGAGTCGTCCAGCCATCCGTCGCTCTCTCTCTCTCTCTCTCTCTCTCTCTCTCTCTCTCTCTCTCTCTCTCTCTCTCTCTCTCTCTCTCTCTCTCTCTCTCTCTCTCCGCCTATGGCTGTCTGCATGTCTGCCTCTCTGTCTCTGTCTGTTTGTCTTTGTCTCTTTCTCTGTCTCTGTATTTGTCTCTGTCCTGTATTTCTCTGTCTGTCTGTCTGCCTCTGTCTTTGTAAGTCGACCCCTCCTCCTCCTCCTCCTGCTGCTGCTTCTGCTCGCTCAGCAGTATCACGAATGTTGGACAACATGGAGCACCTGTGCCCTCTGATGTAAGTCCTCCTCCGCTTGGGGCACCGTGGATATGATCGCAAGCAAGGCCATGCGGCTTCGAGGCAACGGCGAAGATGACTCGGTGAGGCAGGAAATCCCTAAGGCGTCCACTTGTCTCCTGGTTGCACTTTGAAGCCGGCCCAGGGAGTCTGCCCGATGCTGGAAGATTCTACTGGGTTCAAAAATTGTCGAATTTATTTTTTGTGGGGGTGGCAGGGACCCAAATGATGGTCCTGGCCACTCCCCTTTTCTCTTTTGCTTTTCAATGGGTCCCTATCTGGTGGTACTGGACCAGACATGCCGACGCGGCCAAGCCGGATTGTGATCTGGATGTCCAGATCGTAAGCATGCCTGCATGCATGCTGTTTGCCCTGAGTCTGGCATGCGTGCTTTTCATACATGTGATGTGCTGCATGAGAAAGATCGCCGGTCATCCTTCCACAGGAGCCACGCTAATCCTCTCTGTATCACTCAAATTGTGTTGCTAAAATTTTGACCGATGCGTGGAAGGACTCTCTCTTTATTTTTGGTGCACTTACTAATCTTTGTTGTTAGCCACAGCACAGTTCATGAACGTGGGAGTAAATCCAAGTATGCTGACTATGTTTTGTAGTTGTGTTCCTATTTCCTTTTCTTTTCTGTTTTGCAAGGAATATGAGTGTGAATGATATACAGAAAAGTTGAGAAAACCAATGTTGCGAAATCACACAGATGTCCAGGTAGTCATATCCAAGCAGAGAGTACAAAATGCACCGAGAAACCATCCATATAGAGCGCAATACAATGAAGTAATGAGCCAATGTTCATGCCCGTAGGCCACACCAACACAGTATCCGAAGTCGCTCCTCTCTGTCTGGCGCCCAGCGCCCAAGCTACTCTGCCCGACTATCCTACGTACAGCTGGTCCACGCAACAGGCTCACTTCGACTCCCAAAGACCAATGTACATGACTGTCAACTCCATAGCTGACCTCTCTTCATGCACCAGGCACGTATCTCGTCACCCTCAATCAGACCTTGATTACCCCACACTCCGCCTCCTTCCCTGAAGACCACCAGATCACCCGCTTTACCCCCTGGCGCCCAGCAGCCTGGCTACGGCCGCCTGCGCCTCGCTGCCCTGCAGCGCCCCACTTTCACCACTATGCGCCCTGTCAGCGCCCTTGGCAGCAGCGCAGCATCAAGCGATAGCGCAGCAGCACTTCCGCATTGCCTGCACTGGCTGGAATGCCTGGCCTGGACTGCCCTATTCCTTTTGTGGAAGTGGCAGCCTCCTGGATGCTGTGTGTGGCCTGGCTGGAAGCTTCCAGTAGCTTCCGGTTGGGCCTCAGACCCTGCGCCCAGGCCCGAGACTACAGTTGAGGGCCTGGGCCCCTTTTCAGTTGGGCACGGCCTGAGTCTCCGGACTTGGGCTGTTTGCTGCATCTGTGCAGGGCTCCCAGGTAGGTGCGTCAGCAGTTCTGCTTTTCCAAAGGCCGAAGGCCTGCTTCCCAATGTATCGGCCCTGCTTTGTGTGTATGTGCCCAGGCGCCACTGTCAAGGCCTGGGCCAACTGTACGACGCAGCTTAGTAAGGTTCAGGCGTCTGCCCAACCAACTGGCGTGCTGCGAGAGCCTGAATATCCACATATGGAAATGCCGAAATTTGGCCTTTGACGAATATTCAGGCCCACCTTCACTTAGGGCGGGCACACGGCTTGCTGGGGCCTTAGCCCAGAACATGTGCTGTCTGACAGGGCCCCTTGAGGGCTCGTTCCTCACATCCCATCCCCCTTAGCTTGGAAAGTCCGCTGAGATGCTTCATGCTGGTGCCTTCCCCTTTAGCGTCTTCTCATAATTTGCCACGATCTGAGGAGCTGTCTTGACAAGTTTCTCCCTTGAAATGCATCGATCGTCCTTTGGATCAGTATGATGCCTGAAATGTACTTTGTACTCCCTTGCAGGTTTAGGAGGTCTTCCCCTGCCAGGTGGCTTGGGAACAGGCGTGTCTCTGTGATCCAGGATGTCGTCGACGTCCACGTGGCCATCCATGAGCAAGAACAGATGAGAGACCAGTTGCCTGGTCAATCCGTGCTCAGGCTCGAGTCACGCCGAAGCGAGACGCAGAAAAGAGCAAGAAGGTAAGTGAAGCTGCGATCCCAGTCATCACACATGAGCCAAAGACGCTAGAGATAGCATTCACGAGTCACATACAGGAGTGAGACACACCACAAGTACACCATAGGTTCTGGTCAGTATCCTATGGCCGGTTTGAAAACGTTTCCCGCCTAAACCTAACTTTAAAATTAAAAAATTAAGCCCGACGTCAAAAGATTACCGCCAAACACGCTCGTACGTTCTAATATCCCTCCCACCCGCACAGTATTCGAATCCATTCGTCCCGTTCTCCACCTTTCTGATGTGAAAAATCCTGAATTCCTGAGTCGAACATACGGGCAGGGAAACCCCTCCTGCGCAGTTCCATCTTCAATCCCGTCCGGCTGCCATCTTGTCCAGTGTATGATCCCAAATTCGGTGCAGGCATCCCGCAATTACTGCTTTCTTTGTTCTTCTTGCTGAGTACGAATTGAAGTCCTGAAGTCCCTGGAAGATTAATCCACCCCCCTTTGGTAAATCTGGTCCATTTGCCGTGTTGGCTACGCATCCCACTTCGGGGGGGTACATCCGCACCGTCACCTTACAGCCCAAAAAGTTCCATCTGGCTGAACTTTCGCCGTCCGAACTAGTGTTAAATCCTTGTGATAACAAACAGAGAATCTTTTTAGTAAATCAATAGCTTTAATTAGACTGTCCATTTGCTTATGCCTGAAAACAACGAAGACTGAAACATCATCGACCAGTCTACACCCGTGCACCAGTCTCCTATCCCCTCCCAGAGAAGAAAGGAACCACCATTCGTAATAAGCGCAAAGTAAGCAGGCAATAGCGGGGCTGCTACTGTTCCCCATTGGTACATTGATAGTCTTTTGTAATCTTACACCTGCCGCCACAATGAAAGTGTGTTGTAAGTCATACTTCACGTACCGAAGGATGGTGTTGAACGTTATGGACTGCCACCCAACTTCACCTGCTGCATTCCCGAAGGTGGCACCCTTACCATTCTTTTTCACTCTTACTTTATTCAACGCTTTTCCTTCATAAAATTCCACGATCCATCCAACCGCCTCCACCACTGCCCGATGAGGAAACTTGGAGAACATGTCTTTAACGTCAAAACTGGCTCCTAGTACAGCGACATGGTTCAGCTGAGATAACTTCTTGTTGGTTTCATGTAGTGCATCGATCAGATGACGTGTACTCTTGAGGTTAAGGTTTGAGTTCCTAGGTAGCGACCGAAGCATAAAGTTGATTGCCTTGCCCACCAGCTTGCACATCCTTCCCCCCGGTTCGCTAAAGGACGGGCAAATGGGTCGCCACCGTGTGACGTCTTTGTGTTTAGGAATGAGGTACGCTTTTCCCAGCTCTCCTCTGTTGTTCCATTTAACGATCTTCTCAAAGCCATGTGTGATGTATCGCTCTTTACAACAAGCACTGATTTCTCTCTCTCTCTCCGTCCTCGTCTTGAACCCCACGTTCTCTGTGAACATGCTCTTCATTGCTTGTCCATACACCACTGGGCAGCATGCCAATATGTCACCCTGATTATTGTCAATAGGCAATACCGTCAGGCCCTCGAGTACCTTACTAAACTGTTTGACCTCCTGTAATTCCCTCGCATGACTGTGTCAGGTAATAACAATCGGTCAACTGACTAGGTGAGAATACTTTAGTATCTGTTCTAAAGAACTCTCCGAAAGCCGTCTGGAGTTCCCTACAGAGCTTGGTCCCTCTCGAGCTGATCGGAACGGGAATGTTCAGAGAATTCTTCATCAATTGGGAACAAGACTTGTATCGGCGAATCGAAAACAAATGTCCCTCTTCGTTCTTCTCGAACTTAACTCCTGGCACCGACACTGGAGTAAGCTAAATTGCTGCCTAGCCGTAGTCCTGTGATTATGTATCAGCTCACCAATTGATGTAGCGGGTGTATAACAAACTCCGGTATGATGGGATCCTAAGTAAAGCGGTGAGTAAACTACGGTTTGCATTGTCGTGGTGAATTACTAGCCTCGTGACCTCACACATTGTGCAAATAACTTCCTTGATACGGATCGTCTTCAGTAACACCGTCTTCCGATTCCACCGTACTTCAGTGAATCCAAAGCAACGTTTGACAACGGACCATTGATCACACCAACACGTCCCTTGCTCAAAATAAGTCATCCTTTCAAATCCTTCGTTTTTCATTTCCTGAAGAATCTGAAGCAGCGAGAATCTTTTCAGTCCTTCATACGTCGTTCTCATAGGTGCAGTCGCCCCCTTCTTTCTCTTGTCATCCATGAAGCGTGCTGCCTTCCTCTCCCTTTTTCCTTTCTATCCGGTTGGTCCTAGCGTTGAGCACAGGGCACAGGCTCCGTATGTAGTACTTTTCCAACGGTACTAGTTCAGTCTCGTCACAACACTCAATCGACATGGCCACGTAGTCTCTCCAACCTCTCTTTCTGAGCCACCGGTAAACTTTGTGAAGTCTTCCCTCCTCCTTGTTGTCCACCATTCGTCTGTGTTCATCCCATCTTTGCGCCAGTCGTCTTTTCGTCTGCCCGATGTATGTAGCTTTGAAACACGGCGATACGATAGCGTACACACAAGATTGTGGGTTTCGGAACCAGTCGTGCTCTCTGGATCTCCACCCGGTATTCCCCTTCAAGAATTTGTTGAGCCACTTGATATTCACTTCTTTCCCCAGTTTCACAAGCAACAATCTCAGCTCGAATTCAATAGCTTCGCGTTCTTCAGTGCGTCCATTTCTTCTTCGAGGGTCATGGCTCAATTCCCGAAAGAGTGTCCAGATAGATGACTGATTTCGTCCCTCGTCATTAGTCTAGCCCTGCCTCATTATCGGCAGTCGGATTGACTTGCTCAGTGATCCTGACCGCCTCGTTGACGGGTTGCTTTCCGTATGCGTTAGCCGCCCGCTGTTTTGCCAAAGCTTCCACCATATCTTTTTTCCGCCAGTTCGATGGTTTCAGCTTCTCGTTTTTACACATCTTCTCAAGTTGTTTGACGTTCTTCATTCGCAGATGCCTCTTAGTGTCATCAATGTACTTTAGTCGCCCCTCCGGTCTCGGTGATGCAACTGCAGCATTCCTTCCGGGGATGATTCGGTCGAATCCCAGTGGCTGTTCTTCGGCATCCTCCTCGTTTTTGGGTGTCCTTGCTCGTGTTATGGCTCCACGTGTTGGATTAGGTACCGTTCGAGCAAATTCTCGTTCCAGCCTCCCCGCCTTCATCTCAGTAAGTGGGGTGACAACTGCTGCTTTTGAAGTTGACGGAGTATTTACGGGCTTCGGAGTGACGAGTGTTGCGGTCAGACGCGCGATTTCCTCCCTCATCATCTTCATTTCCTCGGCATGCTGTTTCTTCATTCTGTCCATTTTCTCTCTCATTTGTGCCTCCTTGTCTTCCGATTGCATCTTCCTTCTTGTGACTGGTGGTTCTTCATTCGTTCCCTCTTCCTCCACGAGTTCTTTTCCTCGCTTCTTCCGGTCGTTGTTCAGTTGTGCTTCCTTCAGCAGAAGTACGCCTCTCCGAATGCCCTCGACCATAACAAGGTTCTTTGCAGATCCTGCTTTCATCTCGTCGATCGCTTGTTTGAGCATCTTGGTTTGTTCAGCTAGTTGTTCCACGACCACTTGTATGCCTCCATCGTTCTTGTGGAGTTTGTTGTCGATAAGCAGAGCGAGTCGCGCCTCTCTCTCCTCGTCTCTTCATTGTTTTTCTTGGTCCCGTTGTTCTCGTTCTCTTCTAACTTTGGCATCTTCCTCGTCTTTGCGCCTACGTTCTTCTTCTTCTTTCTGTCGTTCGCGTTGAAGACGCTTCTCCTCTACCACAGTCGCGCAAAACTCTCTCATCATGAGCACCGCATCACCAATGTCCCGGTTGGAGGTAAGATTCTGGTAGTGGTTGTTGTTGTTGTTGTTCCGGTAACCATAGCCTTCGTTGGAACGGCTAGGTTCTTGGATCTTGTACCGGGACGATTTGCCGATCTTGTGACCCGTAACAACTTGATCCGACATTCTGGCTGGATTCACCTGGATATCTCCGTGGTTGAATGCATCCTCTCGAAAGGTGGCCAGGTTCCCCGCAGTTGTAGCACTTTGGAATTTCTTGAGCCGCTCCTTGATCCGGCATGATTACGTACACACCTCTCAACGAGTATAATTGCCCGTCTGGTTAGCACGCCCATTGTGAGCAAGAACAGATGAGAGACCAGTTGCCCGGTCAATCCGTGCTCAGGCTCGAGTCACGCCGAAGTGAGACGCAGAAAAGAGCAAGAAGGTAAGTGAAGCTGCGATCCCAGTTATCACACATGAGCCAAAGACGCTAGAGATATCATACACGAGTCACATACACGAGTGAGACACACCACAAGTACACCATAGGTTCTGGTCAATATACTATGGCCGGTTTGAAAACGTTTCCCGCCTAAACCTAACTTTAAAATTAAAAAATCAAACCCGACGTCAAAAGATTATCGCCAAACACGCTCGTACGTTCAAATATCCCTCCTACCTGCACAATATTCGAATCCATTCGTCCCATTCTCCACCTTTTTTATGTGAAAAATCCTGAATTCCTGAGTCGAACATACGGGCAGGGAAACCCCTCCTGCGCAGTTCCATCTTCAATCCCAACACGTTTGGTCCGGCTGCCATCTTGCCCAGTGTATGATCCCAAATTCGGTGCAGGCATCCCGCAATTACTGCTTTCTTTGTTCTTCTTGCTGAGTATGACTTGAAGTCCTGAAGTCCCTGGAAGATTAATCCACCCCCCTTTAGTAAATCTGGTCCATTTGCCATGTTGGCTATGCATCCTACTTCGTGGTTGGAGGCAGCATAGATCTCCGTGATGGGAACTGTGCTATCTCAATGAAAGGTGCAAGCTTGGAGGCGTGAAAAACAGGGTAAGTGCGTAGGTAACCAGGGATACGAATGACATACGAGGGACCATCCAAATCATTCCCCACAATGTCTAAGACTTCCTTGGGATCGAAATACTGGGGCATTAGTTTCCTAGAGATGCCAAACTCCTGTCCCAACTCACTAGCCTTGACCCAAACACGTTCCCCTACCTGAAATGTGGACTGTCGGTGACGCTTGTTCTCAGAAGCAATCATGGCTTCCTGAGATTTCTTGATGTGTTCGACAATGTGCTGCAACAATTTCTCATACAGGACACCAAATTCAATGGTTCCAGGAGTTGCAGCAATCGATTTTCAGGCAGGAGGAAGTTTAGAGTAGATCTAGGCTTCCATCCTATGCAGTTGATTAGGACTGACGGCGGTGGTGTTGTGTACAGCATTGTTGTACAGACTGGCGATGAGAGGTAATTTCTCATCCCAGTCATCCTGGCTGGGCTTAATGTAATGCCTCAGCAGATGCTGCACCACACGGTTCATCTGTTCAGCCTGCCCATTTGCTTCGGGATGATTCTCAAAAGTCATCTGCAGCTGGCTGCCCATCTGTTTCAGCGGCCTTCTTCCACATCTCGCTTGTGAAACGCACATCTCTATCGCTGACGATTGGCTTTGGCAGTCCAAAATCACGCACCTAGTTATCCATGAATAACTTGATTCAGTCCTGGCGGTCTCCGGCATGGCAATTAGTCTAGCATACTTAACCTATCAACTATGACGAAGATGTGCCTCTTGCCATTCTTGCTGGTCACGAGAGTATCCATGAAGTCCATGGAGATAATCTGCCCTGGGCCAGCAGGAATGGGTAGAGGCTTTAGTAGCCCGAGTGGAGCTTGAGTCCGCGGCTTATCCCGCTCACAGACCTGGTAGGTCTGTACGTACTTTTTTGCATCGTCCAACATGTTAGGCCACCAAAATCGCTATACTAAGTTAGCACTAGTCTTCTTGTAACCGAAATGTCCTGTTGCGTCGTGGCACTCACCCAAAAATAACCTACACAAAATCTCCCTAGATGGAACAACTAACCTCTTAAATCCTGCCTTCTCAAGAAAGAGTAACCCATCCACCATCACAAACTCGTCAGTGGTGGTCTTTGGCCTACAGTTTGTTGATGATGTGCATCGTGATGGGATCTTCCTTGTAGGCTTCCCCGAAAGATCAACTAACGTCCTCAGACAAGCCAAACTCATAAATCAGCGCACCTAGGTAATATGCCCTCCTAGACAACGCATCTGCAACCTTGTTGTACTCTCCTTTCACATAGTCTAGTTTGAAGTCATACTGATCTATGACTTCAATCCAGCATTTGAGTGCATCGGAGAGAACTGGTTGCGTCTTGATCCACTTGAGGGTCTGATGGTCAGTTCTCAAGTAGAAGAACCTTCCTAACAGATAGTGCCTCCAATGGACAAGTGCCTTGTAGAGAGCGTTGAGTTCCCTCTCGTAGGTGGACTTTGCCAATTTCTTTGATGACATCTTTTTGCGCATGTACTCGACCGGTCTCAACTTTTTCCCTTCCTGTTAAGCCAGCACTGCGCCAATGTCGTATTGGCTTGCGTCAGTGGTTACAACAAATGGCCTTTGCGGGTGAGGTACCATGAGAACCTCATTGTGTGTGAGAGCATGCTTCAACCGTTTGAAAGTTGCTTCACACTCATCGGTCCAATCCCATGGCGTATCAAGGTGAGTTAGATTAGTCAAGGGAGATGCGATCGTACTATAATTCTTTACGAAATTGCGGTAATAACCACACATTCTCAAGAATGATATGACCTCAGTCACAGACTGGGGTCATGGCCAGTCACATATGCTAGCCACCTTTGCATCATTGGGCCTAATCCCATCCGTTGATACTTCATGACCCAAGTACAAGATTCGAGTGTGACCGAACTCACATTTCTCTAGGTTTATCTTATACTTGTGTTGCCGAAGGAGTGAAAGTACCTTGTCTACATGTTGAGCATGTTCCTAGAGCGTCTTACTAAAGATAAGTATGTCGTCGAGGTACACGACAACGAACTTATCTAAGTAGTCATGAAAGATCCTATTCATGGCGTGCTGGAATGTACCCGGCGCATTGCAAAGGCCAAAGGGCATCACCACAAACTTTTACAGACCGTACCTGGTCTGAAATGCAGTTTTGTGCCGGTCCTCTGG